ATATGTTGACTGATGATAAAGAAATCCAACAGCAGGTTGTAATACCTTCTGTCTTCGTAGGACAATCGGCCTATCTCTATCTGAGAAGGGCTTTGCGTTACGAGAAAGGGACTCATGTCACCCTTGTGGCGTCCAAACCCCGTCTTAATTCTTGCCAAAATAGAGATAAGCTCTTGGAAAGCTTTAGACAGTTCTGGCCAGTCCTGTTTAGCTATCTGTCACACCATATGATTTCTTATGTCATCCAGGAGTTTGGGTTCATGATCAACATGGTCATTTGCACTATACCACTTGTGGTGTGTGCAAGATGGTACAAGAAAGCCCAGAAGATAACAACGCACACATTTAAAAGGGGAGACAGGTACGAGACATGTGTGATCTGCATGGCCGAGTATGAAGAGGGAGACCACCTGAAGATCCTCCCTTGTTCTCACGCCTACCATTGTGCGTGCATAGACACATGGCTTCACACCCAGCCCAGGAATAAATCTTGCCCCTTTTGCAAACAGCAAGTGACTATTGAAGCTCAGTATATCCATCTGGACAGAGGGAGAGGCCCACAGGAGCAGGCGAGGGAGGAGCAAGGCAACCATGAGGAAGAAGAGCCCAACAACGAGGGTGGGGGAACAGAAGAGAGGCATGAAGAGGAGTATGTTGAGAGACAGCCTGGAGATGACCAAGATGCAGACGAGGAGGAGTGGTACGCTGAGCCGGACAACAACGCTCACTGAGTCACGTGAGCAGCCTTTTGGCCCACAACAGCCCAAGCCAAACTTCCCTCAACTTTTCTCCCGTCACCGGCCAGCTGGTCTTTAAGGGGAAGTGCTCAGCTCAAATCCGTTTTGGCTTCCTTCTCTCCCTCGTCACAATAAAAGGTGTAAAATGGACGTAGCCAACGTAACACTTCTTAGGCTGGGGAAGCTGAGTGCATTTGGTGTTACTGAGGAATGTCTGGCCCACATCCATCATCTTTTCTATTGTGTTTGTCTGGAAGGACTATCTAAAGTGAGCTATATGCATAGGAATTATGAAACAATGGTGACCAGAAGGCCCAGTACAGACTGAAAGTCCCTGGTGCCAGGCCCCGTATGCACAGGAGTAGAGCCCTTCCCCGCTTTGCCAGGCTCTCAGGCCAAAGAGACATTCCCAAGATGAAGTGACTTGCTCAGGGTCATGCAGCAGATCAGAAGCAGAGCTGGAAAGAGGCCCTACATCTCCTGATTCCTACCCCACTGAACCGCACGGTCCCCTAGGTTGGCCATTTGCAACAACTCAAGAGCTCAGACCCATTGGTTGCAGAGCACCTAGTATCCACATAGCTATGAGAAGCTCCATTGATGCCCGAGCTTCCACGAGCAGCTAAGGGTCTAAAAACCAACTATGAATTTCTGATCCTCATTGACAGGAGTAATCCTGCACCAAAACAGAGTGGGGGCCAGTGCCAAAATCCTCCAGAGGTTTCTTTCTGCCTGTTGGCTTTTGCTCTGGTTTCAGTTGGCTCCGGGACAGACATTGCATAAACTGGTTTGAGCCAAATCAGCTCAGTCTGATACTGCATTCAGTCAGGTTTATCTCAAACCGGTTTCAGCCATTTCCAAGTTGGTTTACATGCACTGAACGTCTGGTTTAAACCAGTTTCTGATCACTTAAACCAGGTGATGCGTAATGTCATTCAGGTCTGGGAAAAGTATAAATATATCCGAGGGCAGAAGGGAAAGGGATGGCGAGCCTAGCACTATCTGCATGCTGATGACATGTCAGATGGAAACACGGCACTACCTCCCTTGGCAGGTGTCTTACATGTAGTGATTGAACAAGACCTCCAAACACCCCCAGATATGATGGTTTCCTAGATCAGGGTTATCTCACTGGTGGTCTGGATGTGGAGAAAACTTAAGCTGTGCCCGTGGGCACCCCCCGCCCGGCTGCTGCTCCCCTCGTAGTCCTGCTGATGTTGCAGCCAGGTTTTGCAGGCTCTCCCCCACCCTTCTCTCTCCAGGAGGCAGGGCAGCACAGCCTGCAGTCCAGGACAAAGAGGGAGCCCGCAGCCACGGCGGGGGTGGGGAGCAGTGGGAAGGAGGG